CCCCCCCCCCTATAACAAAATCTGGATTTTCTGGAATTCCCAAACCCCCATCCTCACCCACTGCTTGATTGAAGATCAAGTCATTACATGCAGATTCATCCACACTTATTCTAAAGTCATCAATATCTCCTCCATTTATGGAAAACATGATCTCATCCAGAGAAGAGAACTCTGGAATAATCTCTCTTCACATAGACCAGCAGATGAAATGTGGATAGTTGGTGGCGATTTCCACGCCATTACAAGCCTGGCTGAGCACAAGGGAAACTCTTCCCCCTGCAGCAGAAGTATGGAAGAATTCAGAGAATGCATTGAGAACAACTCCCTTCTCCCGGTTGATCCATCAAGGGGCTGGTTTACCTGGAGTGGTATAAGAGGTCAAGGTAGAGTTTGGCGAAGGCTTGATAGGATCCTTATCAATCATTGTGTTGTAGCTACCTTTAATGATATCACCTGCAGGCATCTCTGTAGAACTGGCTCTGACCATAACCCTCTCCTCTTTGAATGTTCCCTTGCACACACAACTACCCCAAACTTCTTCAGAATCCTTCAACCCTGGCTCACTCACCCAACCTTCCTGGACTTGGTCTCCAAGTACTGGAAATCTACCCCTACCTCAGGAGGAATGAGAGGTTTATGCAACAAACTACAAGGACTAAAAGGAGCCCTTAGAGAGTGGAACAAGAATACTTTTGGTGATATTTTCCTGGCAGTCAAACAAGCTGAAGAAGAGACCCTAGCAGCTGAACTGGCATTTGATGTAACGCCATCAGAACTAAATAGGGAAACCTGGTCCAAAGCCAAAGCAAAACTCATTCTGGCTACCAACAGAGAGGTTGAATACTGGAAACAAAAGGCTAATATAAGATGGATGGAGAAAGGTGATTCCAACTCCAAATTCTTCCATTCTTATGTTAAAGGTAGGATGAATAAGCTAACTATCAAGCACATTAAATCCCATGAGGGAAAAAACCTTACCCAGCCCCATGATATCCAAAAAGAAGCTGTCAGCCACTTCACCAGTATTTTCTCCAAATCTAATGTCCAAGAGTGGAGGATATACTCCAATTTGTTCCTTGCCTCATCACTGAAGAAGAAAACAAAGCCTTGGTAAGCCTCCCTACACTGGGCGAAGTTAAAGCTACGGTTTGGGACCTTGATCCACACAGCACAAGTGGTCCAGACGGATACACTGGAGATTTCTTCAGAAAACCTGGCACATCCTTGGACCAGACCTTCTTAAAGCAGCGCAATATTTCTTCCTAGGGGTCCCTATCCCCAAAGCCTATGGTGCAACTCTCATTACCCTGGTTCCCAAATCAAATTCCCCCAACTCCTTCCTGGACTTTTGGCCAATATCCCTCCCCACTTTCATGAGCAAAATCCACACCAAAATGCTCACAAACAGACTCAAACCTCTCCTTCCTAAACTCATCTCACCTGAACAAGGAGCCTTCAGGAAAGGATATTGCTGATCAAATTCTCCTCACCACAGAAATGTACCATGCCCTAGACAGGAAAACAAATGGTGGCAACATCATCATCAAAGTGGACATGGCAAAGGCATTTGACAAGTTGAGCTGGGATTACTTGGAGGCCATTCTCAATGCTTTTGGTTTCTCTCCCAAGGCCATTAACCTTCTCATGAGCAATCTCAAAGCCTCCTTTTTCTCTATCCTCATCAATGGCCAACCAACTGGATTTTTCCCTATGGAGAGGGGCATCAAGCAGGGAGACCCCCTCTCACCCCTCCTTTATATTTTGGCTACAGAAGGACTTACCCGCACCCTCAACCATCACTTAAACACCTCTTTTCTAACCTCTTTTAATGCAGGACAGGTACCAAGACTCTCTCACTTGGCTTACGCAGATGATTTAATTATATTTGCAAATGGCCATTTCAGAAACATCTTACGCCTTAAGGGAGTCTTCAACACCTATCTCGAAGCATCTGGCCAAGATATTAACCTCAATAAAAACAAATTCTACTGCGGGAAAAATGCAAAGGCAGCAGCAATCTCAGCAACTGCAAGAGTTCTACAGATGAAACAGGGCACCAACCCATTGCAATACCTAGGAACTACTATCACTAAAGGGAAATTGAAGAAGGGATATTTAGAGTACATGCCACTGCAACTGAGCTCACATCCATAATCAACGAGTGTATGAAATGGAAAGATGAAAACTTCACTCTTAAGGCAGCATATCTGAGTACCATCCCCCCCAACCCCCCTCATATACATGACAGATTCATTTGGCATAAATATCAAATCCCAAACATCAAACTTTTCCTTGGGAAGCTTCAGCACAATGCTCTACCATTCACACCCAATATCCGAACTCTTTCCCTGCCCATCAAGGGAATATGCATGGCTTGCATGAACAATGAAGATGAACGTACACACACTCTTCTTCTTTGCCCCTTTGCAATGCAAATATGGAAGCATTATGCATTACTCCTCGAAGGGCCATTACCCACACTAGACAGCACAATCACCCAACACCTTCTCTCCTGGCGGACATCAGCAAAAGGAAAAGGATTCGAGGGAAATCTGAAGGCAGTGGTACCTGGATTCATTACATGGGCCTTATGTAAGAATCATAACTCAGCTCTCTTTGAAGGTACTCAAAACAACACCCATCACCTCCTCAAAACCATCCAGAATCACGAGCATTGGCGAGGAGAATTTTTCTGGCTTAGTGGTGAAAGAATTTTAGCCTCCTTAATATATTCATAATTATGAACTTCAGTTATATCTTTGTTGTTTTTGCTTTCCTCTCAACTTTGGGCCGAGGTCTAGCCCTCCCCAAACTTGCTGTAACTCCTCTTTCTTATTTAATAAAAGTCCTTTCCTTTTATATATATATATATATATATATATATATATATATATATATAGGGGCCGGTTCACGTGAGAATGCACCTTGGTGAAAGAATTAAGAATAAATATTATTGTTATTATTATAAGTATTATTATTAGTAATGCTTTTGTTGTTGTTGTTGAAAGTATTATTATTGTTGTTGTTGTAAGTATTATTATTATTAATGCTTTTGCATGACATTTTCCATGCAACAATATTTTTACCTTTGTTAACTAGTTTTTGAGATAAATCTCTTGAAAAGAATCAATGCATTAACATTCTTATCATCTAAAAAATGATTGTTTCCTCTTTCTTACAGATATGCAAGACCACAAACTGAATATGAAATTTCTGGAGATGTTTTCCTTGTTGGCCACATTCATGTGAACAAGGTTTGATGCTATTATGTGATTATTGCAATTGTTTGGACCCCCTCCCACCCACCCATCATTTTACATCCTTGTGTATCTTTGGCTTTATCAGATGCAGATTAATAGTATGAGTGCTGATCTCAACGAGATTCTTGAAAAATGCGAGAAGAAAATTCATTCCTGGAAGAAGAAAAAAAATATTGGCATTTTTTTCAAACAAATCAATTTGTCAGTCAGGTTGATTTTTACTCTTCCAAATGTAAAGTCCTTTTATGGTATTTTTACATGTAATATCATTATCTTGCTAACTTTTAATTTTTTTATTTGTAAATATGTTCAATTTACTATTCTGTTGGAGTGTTGGTATCTTAGTATCGTACTGGTATGTTATCATAGACCTTACATCAGTCCAATAAAAAAGGGTATATTGGAAAGAAGATAACGAACTGCAAATGACATACTAATCCCAATAAAGTTCTGGAAGTTCTCATTCCAGTATAACCACATTTGAACACACAGGGATCAAGTGCTATTCATGATGTTTCTTCTCAGTTTTCTTAAACTTTTTTTTGGAGATATCTGATGCCCAATGTCAAATAGATTGATTGATTTTCAGGTTAAGTTTGTGTGATTCCCAACACTAGTTGAAGGTTTTGGTATATGCCAGATTTCTTCTGTTCATTATCAATAATTTACATAGTCTTGATGTTTTCTTCTACATTATATCATATTAGTCTTGTATTTTGGTCCACAATGCTGTGAAATGATTCAGGGTCTACCTAACTTTGTTAGGCACCATACTACGTATAGGTCTTTGTATTTGACAAATTTGATCTTTTAATTTCAAGAAATTATTAATTGCCTTGATTTCTTCTTCGAGTATTGTTTCATTACTCGCTTAGTGGGGTAATAGTTTGAGCTAGGGGTCTCTTGGAAACAGCCTCTCTACTTTCGGGTAGGGGCAAGGTGTGAACACACACCCCTTCCCCAGACCCTACTTTCGTGGGATCCAACTGGGTTGTTGTTCGCTAAGTGAGGTAAAATGCTTTAGAGGTACATTTGCAAACTTACAAAGTTTTGCTCTTTCACAGTGCATGTTGTTCTTTTGGTGATGGCAAATGTAAATCAGGGGATTTGCCATGCGTGCGGCTCTCTTGGCGGGGTGATGATGTTCACTTAGAGAGAACATCTCATTTTCTTGCAGACGTAATTTGCCCAGTTGTGTTGGAAACAATTGTAAAAGGTACTACGTATAAGTTATGCTTTATTATAGTTGCTATATACTATTCAAGTATTTAACACTAGCAAAATTTTGCTGATGCCATTAACATGAATGGATTCATTTAGTTTCAGATGATAGTCATGATACACATATCTCTCCTTTCCTTTAGATTGTTACCTGAATACCTGTTGGATGTTTCCTCTACTTCTCATCTAGACAGGGTGTGATCTTGGAACTGCTGGATAGCAAAACTAAATGACATAGTACACTTGTATTTCATAGGTGATCATAGGGTCTCTTCTGCTAGTATAATCTGGAGTAGTCCTCAGACGATGACTTGGATTAAAGGCTCTAGCAAGAATCAACCGGGTGAACGGCTCTAGAAGTTGTTCTTGAGAAGGAAGCTGTTAAACAAAGCGGAGATGCTTGGAGGATTGTCATGGACTCATGTGTACCTTATATCCATCTTATTGGCACTAGACGTTCTATATCTTATGCTATCAAACAAGTGCAAGAGTTGCTTGGGATTTCTTGTGCTTTTGAGCAAGCTGTTCAGGTAATAACCGAGTAACCAAATTTGTTTTCTTTTGTATAGTAATTATATCTGGCACGATGCATGTTGGTTTAGAAAAGTTGTAAGGCTTTATATGTATTAAACTTCTATGCCTCATGTAATGTAGCGTTCTTTTAGACTTATACCGTCCAAACGTCAAACAAATATAAGTGATTCCTGAAACAGTCATTCTGTGAGGCAGCACCCTGGCATCACCTTTAGGCAATTTGTAGGGATGATGTTATCTTTCTTTGTTCTATGAGTTTTCTTCCTCTTATGCACGGGCAATTGATTAATGAAAAAATGAGATTTGCTGTACCAAGATTATTCTTTACTAAAATTGTGTACCAGTGTAGAAGTTCCCACCATTGTGGGGCTTAGGACGAGAGTTTTCAGGTAGCTTTGCTTCTTTATTTGCAAAGAGAATTTAATGTAACCCATGATCTATAGGACACAATGTAGAGAGAAAGGAGTTCTGAAAGGCCATGGTTACAAAAGGATTGTTGAGTTAACCCAACAAGAAGGTCAAAATGTCTATGATATCCTCCTCCTGATGAGAAGCAGTCATGATCGTAGAGAAAAGGGTACTAGGTGCAGATATTGATGATCTGATGCCTGAAGATGCAAATTTAGACTTGTGCTTATCACCAGAAAGAGATTCAGAGTCAGCGAAACCTACATTTGAATATACAATTGATGATATATGATCAATGAGAATGTGGGTCAACAAGGTGGTGGTGGTTGGGAGAAGGCTTCGAATGACACCTCTGGAATGGGTGGGACCCTGTTGAGAAAAACTCTACGACGGCAACCGATCAATCAGACTCTTTGTCCTCCTGGGGTGCTGCTAAAGAATTGGAAGGTCGCTGTTCTCTTGTACAACCTGCTTATAATGACTCCTGGGGAAAGGCTTCTAAAATATCAGAATCTTGATCGGTCAACAACAAAAACTTCTTGGGGGGAGAGATTCTGATGAAGCATCTGAGAAAGGCCATGGTCAACATTGGGGTAGTCATAAGAAGCATGATAAACAAGCTTCATGGGGAAATGCTGTCAAGTTTAGGGGACTGGGACCAAACCACCGATGGGAAATCGTCAACCTCTAGTGGTGGTTGGAATAAAAAACCAGAATCTAATAAAGGCCTCGATCAGTCTGGATCTTCCTGGGATGGACTGAAGAATGAAACAGGTGGTGGTTGGGGAGTGGAGCTCACAGAAAAGAGAGTCTTCGGCCAATGACTCATGACTCAGCTGGTGGGTGGGGTGCTTCTAAAGCTGGTGGTGATGCTGATTGGGGCTCACAGAAAAGTGAGTACTTGGTCAATGACTCAACTGGTGGGTGGGGCGCTTCTAAAGTTGGTGGTGGTGCCGATTGGGGCTTACAGAAAAGTGAGTCTTTGGTCAATGACTCAGCTGGTGGGTGGGGCACGCCCAAAGATGGTGGTGCTGATTGGTCATCACAGGTATACTTAATGAATTTCTTTTTTTATTGAATTCCTAATTTATATTTAGGATACCATAAAAAATTGTGTGTTTAATAAAATGGAAACTAACTATTTAAACTACCGTGTGTTTAAAATACCGTTTATACTAAATGAAAACTAGACCTGACAAAAAATGACCCGACCTGTTTTTGATCCGAGACCCAATCCGAAAATACTGGGTTTTGAACATAGGTTTTGTTGACCGAACCCAAAATTACCCGTTAAAAATGGGTCAAACCCGACCTGACCGACCTGCTAATGTGAGAATTTTCTAAAATCATATGCTTTAATATGTAATATAATGTTATAAAAATAAGATTTTATTTTTATTTTTTTCTTTCTACTCATTTTTAATGTATAAATTTATATTTTCATACAAAATTTTAATAGTATCGCATAATTATCTTACGTTTTTTCAAAATTTTCCGCATATTTAATTTTTTTATTCGTAATATTGATAATCACTCATAAAAATTACTTAAAATTTCAAAAAATAAATGAAAGTCATAACCCGCTGGATAAATCCGAACTCGATGACATTGAGTCATGAACATGTATCTCTCAATCCGAACCCGAACTTATCCGAACCCAAAGTAACCTAAACCCAAGGTGATCGAACCCGAACCCGACTTGACCGACCGTTTTGCCAGCTCTAATGAAAACTAACCATTTAGCATTATTGCGTACGTGCATTTAATTTGTTAATATATTGTGTATATTCATTATGAACAGTAGATCATGTAATATACTCAATGATCTACGGCTCCCCCTTTTAAGAATAGAAGGATATTAGCCACATTGCTTTTTTCTATACTCCAATTTATATAATGGATAATCATATTTTTGTATATTGATCATAATAATAATAATAATAATAATAATAATTAAAAAATAATTAATTAGAAAAGTTCGGTATTAGAAAAGAAGTTTATATAAATTCCAATTTTATAAAAAAGTTCGGTATTAGAAAAGAAGTTTATATAAATAATATTTTTATATTTTGTTTCCTTTTTAAAAATATATTAGGCATGTGAAATTTCCTTTAATTTATCATTCTAAATAAGAATAGAGTGATTAAGTAATTACTCTTGCGAAATTATTCTAAAAAGGAAACAACGTAGATCTTGTTTGCAAAATTAGTTCCTTCCTTTTTTATCAGAATTAAGTAATTATGCATGCGAAATATCCTTTAATTTATCATTTGATTATTCTTAAAAGTATTTCCTTTTAAGAATAGAGTGATTAAGTAAATAATTACATATTTAATTAGGCGTAAATAATTACTTTTTGATAAAATAATCAGGTGTAAATTATTCCAAGAAATTATAATAATAATAATAGTAATAATTAGGTGTAAATAATTACCTATTTAAAAAGGAAACAAAATATAAAAAATCTCCTGCACCGTCCCTTCCTTTTTTATCACAATCAAGTAATGCGAAATTGGTTAGGAAACAAATTATTCCCTTCCTTTTTGATCAGAATAGAGTGATTATGCATGCAAAATTTCCTTTAATTTATCATTCTAAATAGGTAATATTACACAATCAATCATAGCCATAGATCTTGTTTGTTCCTTGATATCGACGGTGCAGGAGATGAGTGCATTGGGCGGGAAAATAATTCCCCTACTTTTAAGAATAGAGTGATAAGTAGTATTAAATACCCCTGCATATAAATATCATATATTGTCCCGGTAAAGTTGGGATTATTTTGGGTAATTTTTCCTATTTCATAATAGGAGTACTCATATAATTTCGTACACAAATTACCACATACGTAGTATAATAATAATAAGAGTATCTTTTAAGTTCTTATCATTAAAGGAGAATAATAAAATCAAAATGGTAATATCCGGATTTTTATTGCCTTAGTTTTTACAATACTTTTAAGACGTACCATTAAAGGAGAAAAAATAAGAATGGTAATAATTTAAAGAGTATTGAATTGCGTAGGTCTACATTAATGAATTACTTTTTTATTTCATTTTTAAACAGCCGTGCTATCTACATAAAATTGTTGCCTTATTTAGATTGTAATTTAATATAGCATAAAATTGTTACCTTTTTTAGATTGCAGTGCATTCTACATTAAAGAAATATTTTATTTTATATCAACCGTCGATGATGAAATCTAGCAAGATCAACGGCTCACAAAGGCATGCATTTGGACGAGATTTTGCTCGGGTGCAATTTTCCCTGCTTTTAAGAATAGGATGGATAGTCCCACATTTATTGAAATGTGCGTGTTTTGAATCGCCGTTAAGCGATTAACGAATTGTTAACAAAAATGATCTGTTTTGCACATTAAAATGAAAGATAATCATATTTTTCATAAACTTTTGTCTCAATTTTTTTTTAAATAACTTTCTACCTTCATCATTTCTCTTTCTTTTTTTATACACAAGACAAGCACATTTCATTACAAATAAAAGTATTAAATGTGTGACTATTGTGGATAATTTTTTAGGAAAAAATTACTCTCCTTGATTAGCATAACTGTCAACGTTTTCTTTCAATGGTTTTACCGACTTGACCTAAGTTTTAACGTGCCATGATTCGAAACGATCAGTTCAACGTCACCATTGTGGCGTCCTTTGGCTTTTTTTGTTGAGTCTGTTGTCCTCTCTAGTTTATGCTTATCATAATCCCATTCCCAATTCCATATAATCACCTAAATTATTCCCCACTGGTCCACTCTCTATTATCCTTCATCAAATCATTAGAAAAAGGGAATGTCTTTGGTACTGAGCCAAATGGGTGTCCCCCAAAATCCGAGTGACTATAAGCCCTGGGAAGATCCTTCCTTTTTCAGGTGGAGAAAGAGAGACGCTCATGTCCCACTTCGATCCCATCAATCTGTTAAAAGTACTTTTTTCTTTCTTTCTTTCTTTCTTTCTTTCTTTCTGACTTTTGTTTCTATGAATATTGCTCTGATGATGATGATCAAATGGAACAGTACCCCTTCAAAAATGATGAATTTCAAGATTGATGGAATTCATAATTTTCTTGGGCGATTTGAGTCCACTGGACCATTGCATGGTTGGACGTAGAGAAGAGCATAAAGACTTGGACCGAAAAGATTGACCGAGACCGACTAGGATTTGGACTTGAAAGATTGGGACCGAAGTAGTCTTTGAGACTAGTCTAGTCCAAGACCAGTAGTCTCAAATGTTCCTTAATATTTATAGAGGACTAGGACTAGTCTAAGACTAGTAAAAGACATGATACCTGAACCGGTCCGAGACTAGTAAAAGATTGGTCTAAAGACTAGGACTAGTCTAAAAAATTAGTCCTCTAGAGTCTAATTATATTACTTGTAAATTACGGAGTATATAGGGAGTAGTATATATGGAGTAGTACGTATAAAAATGTTAAAACAATAATATAGAGTAATACAAATTAGAAATGATTAATACTTCTCGGCTTCCCCTATCCCCTAAGTATTTTCTTAGAGTTTCAAGATAAACTCAAGCGTCACAACACTCTGTCCTAGAGCAGTACGTAGAGCTAGTCCTCAGAGATGTCCTCAGAGAATCAGCGATTGAGCGAGCAAAGTGCAACATGCAATCTCGACCGATGCAAAAAGAGTTGATGGACTATTTGGTAACCCTGACACAACATCGCAAAACTACAATCTTGACCCAATATGTTGGGACTAGAGACTGGACCAGATTGGACTACCGACCGGACTAGATTGGACTAGTGGTCTTATTTGGTCTTTGATTTTGATAAGAAGACCGAACTAGTTAGGACCGGGTTTTTAAAAAGACTAGTCTGGTCCAGTCTTTTACTGTAGCAGTCTTTTCCAAAGACCGGTCTAGTCTGACCGCATTGGTCCAAAATTGAAACCTTAAAAACTTTTCATGTTCTTGTTTTGTAGGTTCACTCAAGTACTGGGTTGAACGCAACAATGTGGATTTTCTGCGGTTTGGGATGACAGGGCTGTTCCGGAGGCTCTTGATTGTTCTGCCCGGTGGGTAGAAGGTTTGCCTTTTGTCAAGTCATTGTCTGGGTATTGGAATTTTTCCCTGGCTCCCAGTCCTTCGAGTCTTCCTCCAGAATTTTACAGTTGGTTTTTTCAGGACTCTGAATGGAACAAGATTCCGGGTAGATAATCCCCCTGCTCGCCTTTTTATTATCTTGAAAAGTGATTACTGTTTTCATGATGTTTGCATGAATTTGTAGTGTGAAGTAGTTTAATTCAACCATTAGTTACTACTCTTTTCTAATTCAAGTAGTGTTTTATTTGAATTTTTTGTAGTGCCTTCCAATTGGCAGTGTCATGGATATGACAAGCCAATTTATACAAACACTAAATATCCATTTCATTTTGATCCACCCAAAGTTCCTGATGAGAATCCCACTGGCTGCTACAGGACTATGTTCTTCATTCCTAAAGAATGGGAAGGTGAGAATTTTTGGATTTGAGATTTCTTTGAATCCCACTTATGGTCTCTTGTGTTTCAACATATTCACGAGTGATTTCTATAAATGTGTTCTATTTATGTGTGAAATGTCACACGTGTAAATTGTCATTGAATCATTGAGAATCTTCCCAACATCATCACCCTTGTTCTGTACAGGGCGCAGGATATTTCTACATTTTGAAGGTGTAGATTCAGCCTTCTATACATGGGTAAATGGGGTTCCTGTTGGATATAGGTTGGTCAATATCTTCTTATTGTTCTCTCTTTCACACACACAAACACACACATATTGTGTTGCATTTCTTTTCGTCCGACATAGAATTTCTGGTTTTTTTCTCAGTAACAAACTGTATTTTCTCGAATAAAACATATCAGCCAGGATAACAGACTGCCAGCTGAATTTGAGATAACAGATTTTTGTCAACCATGTGGGGCCTGATAACCGCAACTGTCTATCTGTTCAAGTAATGCGCTGGAGTGATGGTACATACCTTAAAGATCAAGACCACTGGTGGCTTTCTGGCATTCACCGTGATGTTCTTCTTCTAGCAAAGCCAAAGGTGAGTTGCTGTCATCTTGTAAAATCTTACTCTTGAAACAGTAAGGGGCTGTTTGTTTCAGCCTCTTAATGGTTCAGATGTCTAAATGGTTCAGCACTTAATGGTTTAGACTGTTAGTTTCAGCCTCTTAATGGTTCAGATGTTTGAATGGTTAAGAGATTTGCTTCTGAATGGTTAAGTATTATACAGAGTCTGAATGGTTAAGACCTTTTATCTGAATTGATCAGACATTTGCCTCTGAATAGTTAAGAAATATACTAGCTCTTAATGGTTCAGATCTCTTACTGGTTCAGCACTTAATGGTTTAGACCTCTTAGTGGTTCAGCACTTACCTATTCAGAAGTTGCCAAACAGCCCCTAAATGTTAATGTTTCATACAGAGTATTATGAAGCATTGTTAGTACGGGCAAACATGGGGGTGTTTTAATTCTCCGTATTAAAATAAGGCTTTTAAGGCTATATATTAAAAAAAGAGATAATATATTACAATTTGCTACGTGTATCCTCCAATAGGGCTAATGGGATCTTAGCATTGCTAACACAGGACTCTATCCCTTGTAGATATTTATTGCTGATTATTATTTTAAATCAAATTTGGCTCGAGATTTTTCTTATGCAGATATAGAGGTAAGAATTGTGTGTTTGCTATTAATTATTTTGGTGTTTTTTTATTTAGTTCCATTTTGTTTGATTGTTTGTTTGTTTGTTTTGGTTGTGCTCTTTAAGTACTGTATTTATTTATAATGTATTTTGAGATGGATAATTGAAACCTTGGCGCTGAACGAATTCTTGGGAATTGGGGTAATGCTTCTTCTTGACAATTTACTGATCTATTTCATCATTCATGCCTTTTTTTGACAAAAGTTTCCTATGTTGTTTTAGATCCAAACTTTTCTGATATATTTAAGCTTGGGTTTGGAAAGGGAGGGGAGTGGACTGGTCGAGTATATGGAGGAGGATGAAGGGTTGATTTTTAAGATGGTTTAAAGGCATAAGAATAGGGGAGAAAAAGGGGGATACTGGTTGTGCTTTTTAGGAGGGCCGAAAATTTGGAAGGGAAAATAAGAGGGGAAAAGGGATAAAAACCAAGTAGGTTTTAAGAGATATAACACACTCTTATCCTCACTTGGGGTTTGAGTCTAGAATTTAATTAAGATATTACACACTCAATTAAATAACTAGAACCTAACACTCACACTTAAGGAAACCAACCTTAAGATATAGAAATTAGGATTTGAAAACAGAATACAACCAGTGTATTTCTATCTTGAAATGAAGAATAAAAATCTGAGCATTACAATAGGCCTATGGCCGAAATTTAAAGGCACTCATACAAAGGAAAATACTAAGCTATTTCTTCCACAAATCCTAGAAAATGCAGTCATGTGCTTGAGTCCTTTCATGGAATAAAATCAGGGAAAATGGGGACAGGGATTCATGAATGAATATTCATGAATGGAAGGGGATTTTCGGCCATATTAG